ATACAAAATCTACTTAACAGGCACAGGGGAAAATCACAGAAGAGTGATTACCCCCAACCTCATAGGGCCCTGATGTTTATATACCCTTCTTTTGGAGGTAGTTGGTGATGGGGAGTTCCCTTGGGAGGCTTTTTGACAGCACAACTGAGAAAATGTATGTGAAGGCCAATGGTGTATTTTTATAAAGTTATCCATTTTTGTTTCTGAGCATTATTTGCACCCACATTTGTGAAAATCTTGTCAACATGCTTCAACATTTGGTGAAAAAATAAAAACAGCAACTCAAGATTCCACCCTTACCCCTGTGATCCCTTTGGCTATTTACTTGTCCAGTACTGTATCTGAAAATAAAATTAACTCAATCTCAGAAGCAACTCTCACCATGTGATTCCCGAGTTTTTAGCCTCACTTCTAGGTGCGTTCCCACCTTCTATTCTGCGTGTAAATGTGTCCACGAAGAAACAGAAACAGAAGACAAAATTCCCAATCTTAACTTCGGAACTACTATGATGGATAAGGATGAAACTAAAAAAAAATATTTTTTTCCCACAAAAGCTCTTACGCAGCCGTTACCTAACGCAGCGTGAGAACATCGCAAAGTTCCTAATATCGTTACAAAATCTGCCGTAAGATCGGTTGTGGAAGGAGGAGGGCCGGGCAGAGCACCGTGCTCACTCGGTTTCAGAGCCGGTGGGATGCAGCTCGGCGCCAAGACCAGTGCCAGGTGATGAGACACCAGGGCGCCCCAGGACCGACAAGGAGGCCAAAATCTGTGGAGGACTCGGGTCAAGCACAGCCGACCTGGGTCAGGCGGTTGGGGCGGGGACCTAAAGTCGCCGCAAGACCAGTGTCCCGGGACTGAGGTGGGAGAGGGGACGGTACCTGCCGCACGGAGCCGGTGGGTTCCGCACGGCGGCGAGGCCCGGCTCCTTCCGAGTAAGTTGGTGGCGCGACCGCAGGCGGCAACGGGACGAACCACAGAGGTCAGGTCCAAGGCCGGAGCACACATGGTCCGCCGGGGGAGTCTTATCGCGCGTGGCAGGAGCCAGGGCAAGCTCCGTAGGCATTCCATGGCGCTGGAGCGAGGAGTAAGCAGCAGCCGGCCTCCAGCCCTTCATGCCTGACGGTGGCTGCTCTGCCGCCACCACTTAGAGCAGCACCGCCGCGCCAGCGCGGTGGCTGTATACTGGGCATGCGTGGAGCGCGCCGCGCCTGCGTGTTATTTTCCACGCATGCTCAGAAGGGGCCTTTGGGTGCCCTCTTGAGCGCGGGAACCCCTGGTAGTTGGAGTTCTGTACCTGCCCTTAAACCTGTACCTGTGAAGTCGGGGCGGGCCCCGGGATGGGTGGGGCACGTTCACTGCACTAAGGGGGCGGTCCACGTAAGTTATTAGACTCTTTGAATATCCTTTCTTTGCAGTTTCTTAAGCCCTTTCATACACATGGAATTTGCAATGTAAAAGTGAGAAAAAATAAGACTATTCCCAAATCACTCAATTTATATTTAAGTTTAATGTGGTGTAGGGGCCAAGAGGGAAAACTTCCCTTTCCGCCCTCTGAACTATGCTGGAATGAACTAACAATACAAAATCTACTTAACAGGCACAGGGGAAAATCACAGAAGAGTGATTACCCCCAACCTCATAGGGCCCTGATGTTTATATACCCTTCTTTTGGTAGAAGGAGATGGAGGGCATGCATGGGTTGCAAAACCACACGATAGTTTTTAAATGATTCTCTTTGGCTGCCGAGTGAGACCAAAAGACAAACTATCTGTGGACAACTATGAAACTTCACTGTGAGCAAAGATTGTCTTATTATGTAGAAAATTTCCTAGGTAGTGTTTTAGAGCTGCCTTGAGAAGTATAGATGAAAAGTCAAGGTATAGTGATGACTTTTAGTTTGTTCTCTTTTTTGGTAGTTAATTTTTTTCTGGTTATTTAATGTAATTCCTAGAAAAAGTGTTTAAAACAATTGCATTTCTTTGGGAAAGACGCTTCCTCAATCAGATAAGGAAATTCCAGAGAGAGCTCCTCTTGATGGTTGGGGTAAGTAAGCAGATCAGAGAGACTATGGGGTAGGGAAGATCAGAGGCATATTTCTGAGATTTTTTTTCTATTCTTCCTTCCTGCCTTTCTCTCTCTCTCTCTTTCTCTCTCTCTCCCTCCCTCCCTCCCTCTCTTTTCCAAAATGTTTTGAGGGTACAGACGTTTTCATTACATGCATTACTTTTGTGCAGTTTGAGTCAAAGTAATAATTGTGCCTATCCCTCAGATAGTGATCCTTTAGTTTCCTTTAATTTAAAGCTGTCAGTCAGCCAAAGCACCATATTTTAAGGTATCATTGTTTGAACCCCAACAGTGGCAAAAATAATCAGCTGTCATATGAAATGGTATATTTTAAACTTTTGCTAGTAAAGAATGAGTAAAATGTAAAACCATCAAGAAAGAAAAAAGCACAGATAAACTGTGCTTTCTAAATATGTCAATTGTTAGATACATCTCAACTGCAGGTTTTAAAATATGAAAAACTTTGAGTCTTGGAATTGATTAATACAGTATTATGCATATTTTTAAAGTGTAAGTTAATAGATTTATTATTCCTTCTATAGTAGTAATGCAAGGGCAGACACAAGTCCCACGGGTTTTACTCAATTTGTACATATGAACACGAGGCTAAGGAGACACAGAGAGAACCATTTATTTTGCATAGTATTGGAACTAGGAGTAGAGTAGGAGGAAAGTGGAGGAAGAGAAGGCTTCACAGAGAGAATATCTGACTTTGTCATTGAAGGCAAAGAAAAACTTCGGGCTCTGCGCCAGTAGCACAGTGGTTACGGCACCAGCCACATATACCAAGGCTGGTGGGTTCAAACCCAGCCCCGGGCCAGCTAAACAATGATGACAACTGAAAAAAAAAAGCTGGGCATTGTGGTGGGTGCCTATAGTCCCAGCTACTTGGGAGGCTGAGGCAAGAGAATCGCTTAAGCCCAGAAATTTGAGATTGCTATGAGCTGTGACGCCACCGCATTCTACTGAGGGTGACAAAGTGAGACTCTGTCAAAAAAAAAAAAAAGAGAAAAAATTCAGGCATAGCTTCCAGGGGGTTGAAGTCTAAAGAATCCTGAATTTAGAGAATGTGGCTGCATAGCTGGTAGAGTTTTCATTTTACTAAAGATTTAATGAGATAAATCTTTGAAAAATGTTACATGTCTTCAGAGGTATTTTCTTGAGAAAATATGTGATAATTTTTTTCGCCCAGCACAATGCGACAGCTCTAAGATGACCTTTTGCAAAGCCTAAGAAAAACTCTGAAACTTGTTCAAATACATGGCCTTGTAATTAACAGCAAGGATTTGAAGTTTAATCTGAGTAGGGTGGGAGTCATTAGGGGACTTTGAGTAGAGAAATAATGAGCAGCAGAGGGACAATAATCTGATTATATTTAAATGGTGGCGATGAAGGAGAAGGGAAAATAAGATGGGCATGATGCTATGAGTGCTGTCCAGAAAGTATCCAGCCATTGTTAATGCTATTTTTATAGTGTCTGGGGGGATACTTTCCGGAAAGCCTCATGTATTGATGGTTGACTTGACAAGATGTTCAGATGAGACATAAAGGAAAGAAAGGCATAGACATTTGTAACAGAGAAAGTGGCCTCAAAAATGGTAAAAAATATTTTATTTCCGGCTAGGCCAAACAACAATGATGGCTGCAACCAAAAAATAGCTGGATGTTGTGGTGGGTGCCTGTAGTCCCAACTACTTGGGAGGCGGAGGCAGGAGAATCACTTGAGCCCAGGAGTTGGAGGTTTTTGTGAGCTGTGATGACACAGCACTCTACCCAGGGCAACAGCTTGAGGCTCTGTCTCAAAAAAAAAAAAAAAAAAAAAATTTTATTTCTCTTCAAAACCCCCTGATCTTTTTTATATCATTATTATTATTATTTTTTGAAACAAAAGTCTCACTCTGTTGCTCAGGCTAGAGTGCTGTAGTGTCAGCCTAGCTCAAAGCAACCTTAAAGTCCTGGGTTCAAGTGATCTTCCCACCTCAGCCTCCCAAGTAGCTGGGACTACAGTCACTTGCCATGATACCCAGGTAATTTTTCTATTTTTAGTAGCAATGGGATCCCACTCTTGCTTAGGTTGGTCTTGAACTACAGAGTTCAAGCCATCCTCAGCCTCACAGAGTGCTGGGAGTACAGGTGTGAACCATAGTGTCTAGCTCCCCTTACTCTTTATGAGAACTAAAACCTACATCCTTGCCTAAGGGCAGTGGTCAGGAGGAGCAGGGGAGTGTCCCTTGTTTGTTGTGCCTCAGGAGATGGCTAAAGGGAATTGTCTGGGTGGAGGTTAGAAGATTGTTTCAGTTAAGGATAGGATTAATCAGAACCATCCTCTTTTAAAGCTCTGTATTTCTGCTAAGAAGCAGGATGCTGGTAATTTGAGGTCAGAGTCTGCCAGACTCCTCATTTGCTGGCAAATTAATAAACTTCTCTCTCCTCCTCAAACCACTTGTCCTCATTCTTCTGATGCTACTTCAGGGATAAGCACTGAGCTTTTTGCAGCACTGACTCCAAAGTATTCACCCTGAACACCTAGGCAATGGTGGTACTATTTACTGAGATAGAGAATTTTGGAGAAGAGCACTTTGGAACTGAAAACCAACTATGGCATGGCATTTGTTTTGGAACATGTTAAATTTGAGAGATTTATTAGACATATCTAAGAATAGATATCAAGTAAGCAGCTTGAAGTTCAGAGAAGTCGTCAGAGCTAGATATATACATTTGAGATTGTAGAGAATATTTAAAGCCATAGATTGGATAAGAACTCCTAGGAACACCTGTATTCCTAGTACTTTGGGAGCCAAGATAGGAGGATTGCTTGAGGCCAGTGAGACCCCCGTATCTATAAAAAATAGAAAAATAATCCAGGCGTAGTGGCATGTACCTGTTGTCCTACTACTCAATAGGCTGGAGCTGGTGGATCATGCAAGCCAAGGAGTTGAAGTTGCAGTGAGCTATGATGATTCCACTGCTCTCTAGCCTGAGCAACACAGGGAGACCTTGTCTCAAGAAGAGAAAACAAAATGAAAAAGATCTCCTTGGAAATAAGTCAGACAACAAAGATAGAAAATCCTATTATTAAGCTATGGATTCTTTAGCATTTGACTACTAAGAAGATGAGATAGATCCAGCAGAAGAGTATGAAGAGTGGCCAGGAAGGAGAAATAAAATCAGAGAGGGTGGGCTCCTAGAAGCCAAGTGAAGAAAGTGTTTTGTTGGGACTCAGAAACTGCTACCCCCAAATATGGCATTTTGACGTGCTGAACTAAAGGTGTCCCTGAACCCTTTGTTCCCACTGACACTCCCAAAGATGAAGTTCCTTTATCTGCCTAAGATACAGATCCACCAAAAGAAACAATTGTTTTTTTCTTTCCCTCCCTGTAAGACCAAGAATGTAACAAAATCTTGACAAATCCCTTCACAAGATAATGTACAAATTAAAATCTCTATTCCTGGATCCATTCATTCTCCCTAGTAATCCTTTATTGCCCCTTTACAGAATTCCTTTTCTCCCATCTCCCATACCCTGTTTGGCCAGGATGGTATGTAAGCTTCTGAACCCCACTGCGAGGTGGATAATTACTCTGTGGTTTTCCCTGCGTACATGTTAATAAAATTTGTATGTCTCTTCCCCAGTTTGCTGGAGTCCTGCTCCAGGAGCAGGGTTCATTAAGACCTGTGGATCTGGTGGCAACCAATTGAAGAAATATAAAGTTAGAAATGACAAGAGACAGACAAAACATGCAGAATAGAATTTTCAAAGGTGGGAGCACAGGGAAACACCTCTCATTGTGGAGTTCCCACCAGTGGCCACGAGTGTTTGTTCCACTCAGCTTTTATTGAGGTTTTTATTCTCATTAGCTTGGGGGGTAATCTGAAGAAGGGAACAAAAACATCAGCAGTTTCTCTGAGTGAGCATATCAGCTTCTATTGTTTCTATAATCATTAACTTTGAGGGTCTGAGCAGTCTTGAGAAATCTGGAACCTGAGGCTTGTGTGGGGGCAGCCTCCTCTCTGTGGTCACACACAGAGATTCCTAGAGGGGTGTTAGTACCTGCTAGTTCACTGTGGAGTAAAAC